TAGCTTGACCGGATTTGATCAGAGAAACGGATTAGTAAAAATGTAGCTTTAATGGTGTTTTAGTGATGTTAGACATTCGTAGTTGTACAGCTTTTATTATTTAAATATTAAAATAAAAATTCGAGGTTATAAACAAATGTTTATATGGAAACAGGCAAAAAGCAAATGCAAACGTGCCTGCTTGCTTAATATAATCATTACAATATAATTATTACACACGGATTAACATTAGCACTGGAACCTGATCCTAGAAATAACACAGAATAATGTATTTTTAAAAAATAATAATTTCCGAAAAGTTCTAGTTTCCTTAGTTTCTAGTTCCGGTGTTAACTGAACTGTTCCATCGATCGAAAGTTCCGACCTGTAAAATATATTTATAAATGTTTAACGGAAAATAACGTACACTGGCTCAGAGTTTCTGAGCGTTCCATACGATACTCTGCTAAATAATATCGACAATATAGTCGGTAATCATAACGGGGATCCGAGGAAGGTCCCTCGAGCCTCTCTCTCTCTCTCTCTCTCTCTCTCTCTCTCTCTTGGGTCATGATGGTCTAGGATCTCGGACATCAAGTGCGGTTCGTGGCGAACGTGCTATATATTTCGTATCTTCTGGCGTGTATTTGCATTCCGTTTCCTGGATTCCATTCCGTGGCACGACATACATTTCATTGAAGTTATTACGATTAGATCGCTGGGAACTAATAACCGTAGTTTCTGCCGGTGAAATTCAATATTGTAAGTGTGTACATACACATAGTTTGAAGTTTTATATATATATATATATTTGCCTTGCTTCAGCAGTTGAAGTAACTAAACAGTCGGGATTATGGACACGACGAAGTTCCTCCCTGGAAAATGTTCTGCTTTCTTTGTTATTCCCCCGAACGTTTTATATAAAAATACGAATCTAAGAATCTAGAATTCTTTAATTCGGTCGATCAGAAGCTACAGGCATCGAGAAAAGTTATCCCATATCGATTGGGAAAATGAAGAAACACGTTTCTAACGTTTTGTCAAACTAACTTATTTATGTTGGCTGTTTATACCGAATTAATGGACAATGTTGAAAGTTGAGTGAGTAAAAACAGCCATGTATCTAGATTGTGGAATTAAGAAATTTACGAAGAGTGTAGCTTTATTACACTTTGATTGAACCTCGTTTAGAATTATGTCACTTCATCTGTTACAATATATAGTTCAAGATTCACAACCACGTCGAAATTATTTCACATTTGTACTACTTCCTTCAAAATTTTGGCCCCCGACACCTTTCTGTTATAATAAACAAAAGAATGTTCTTCAAAACATCTAATGGGTGAAATAAATCTCCACGCAAGTTAAATTTTTGTAAATAATGCATTCTCAAAATTATAAATTTGCATCAAAAATATGTCTGATTGTCGAATTATTGTGCATCATATTCCGACTAATATCACTTTGGAAGCTTGATTGGAAATTAAATCATTTCATCTGCAAGATTTGAACTCTGTCGAAATTATTTCACGCTTGTACTACTTAATTTCCTAACATGGAATTTTGCCTCGTACTATTAATGAAAATGCAATTAAAAAAAAAAAGAAAAGAAAAGGAAGAACTTCTTCTTTGATTGAAAAGTGAAGAGAAACAATCGAGCCAATGCATGAAGTTGTACGATTTTTAGTAGTTTCGTGTCTCTGCTTAATTTATATTTAACGCAAGAAGCGTCTTAACGATGGAAATAATAAAACCTTAATTACCTGAACTCGAGAATTAATTGCGTTCGCATTGCCCCCTCTAATTTTCCTGTTTGTATCATTTTCTCAAATTCAATAAAGAGAGTGTAAAAAAAAAAGGGCAGAGCGACTACTGTAAACCGTTTGAAATTGATCGTTCAAAAAATTTCATTTGGAATTTCATTTCAGTATCGGGATGTTGCCCGTTGCACAGAAATTGCAAAAATAATAAAATTCGAGGTGTATTTATTTTTTTTAATCGCACGCACGAAACTCGCCAAAATTACAGAGATGTGTTTAATTCTAAGTAAATTTAACTGGAGAGATGTGTTCGTTTATCAATTACTTTGGGCTTGAAATATCTTTCTCGAAAATACGTAGGAAGAGAAATCTACATAATTTTGCCTAATTCCGAGTGAAATTACTTGAAATAAAAAAAAGATGGAGTTTGGACATTTTGTGGATTTTGAATAACTTTTTTAAGTTAAAATTGGATCGTTTCTAGAATATTAACAATTTTACGATATTTAAGTAGTTGTATATGAACTATATATAATTATCATGAATAAACTTTATGAATGAAATTTATTCTAATTATAACACTGTTTGTACAATACATTTTATACATTTTAATCGATATACCTACAATAATTTTATAGCACAGATTTCGTAAATTTTCCTTTAAAATTTGTACAACTGTAATTAGTAAAGTAAATTAGAGTAAATTCTAACGCAAAAATCAGTGCTTATAAAATTTGCAAATGTATATAGAACTTTGTGACTAACTATATATTTGATCATTTCCATTTCTTTATTTATTACATTATACATACTTCAAATAAAATCTTTTAATTCAATTTCGTCTTTCGATATTATCTCTGATTGTTATATATAGTACTAATGATAAATTATCAATAGTTATTACGAATTAATACAAATAAAATGAGAACAACAGAGTTATAAGTTCAGTTTACGAGTTCAATTATTTAGCTTCAATTATTTATTGAATTATTTTTTGAAACAATCGAAATATATTTTTTTCTTGATTTTTCAGTTTAACAGAGCATTCGATTTATTTTTCTTTTAGTAAAGCAAAAAAAAAAAAGAAGAAAAATATAAAAGAGTTAATTTGAAATTGACGTTTTTCTGTCATTATTCTGGTAATGTAATAAAAATGAACAAACAGCTTTATCGCACCAAATGTCCAAGCAATTATGGTACTCTTTTTATTTATCATGTAATTTATTTTACATTGTCTCGTGTGCATTTCACTCAATCATATCTGAAATTAATTCCCTAGCAGTTATTACCTATTAGTTACACTATTATATATGTATAAACAGTACTGAATCACACTGTGCACAATTATCGAATAGTTAAATAATTAATTGCACGAAAATCGTACAACAATTTAAAATATTTATCGCGAATTATTGTAAAATATTCATCGCCAATTATTGTTGTACACGACAATGTTTATACTCATACTCTTACGAATTTCCACTCCGTTTGAAAATACACGTTGCTCATTGATTTTCCTAGTAAAATCCGCTCTTTTAAAATGATTCATAATACATTTAAGTGTATGACATGTATATAATACCATATGTGTACACAGACAATCACATTCATGGCCCCTAATAGGCCAGCAAAAGAGTATAAGTGAAAATTTTTAATCACTTATTTAAATTTAATGTAAGATCAGGTATTAAATTTTCAACGTAAAGATTGAAAACACACATGTCTCATTTCTTTATAACAATATCTCTTCGAAAATTCGATAGTTCATATTATTTTAACAAAAGTTTGAAAATTCTTAAAATTGTAATATTAACAATTATGATCAATTATATAACAAAATAATTGAAAGACTGCCTTTCGGTTATTGAAAAATTGAATATTAAAATCAGTATTAAAAAATACTGAAATACTGAATATTTCTTCTAAATAGCTCCATTTGTTTAATCCAAATTACCTACTAGTAATATTTATATATATATATATATATATATATATAT